GTTTATTCATGAACTTACTTGTTGGTCGTGATAGTATTTCGCTGATGCCAAAGTATTTAATAGCACACCGCGTGGTGACCAGCTAAACTTGTATCGTAAAGGATTAGAAGAACATTCTGGCGCAGGTAAACCGCCGCACCAAGATATGAAAGACTCAATTTTCCCACCAGCTTGCTTAACATTATCGAAACATTCTAAAGCCAATAAGTGGTCTATGCCGGGATCTAATCCTACCTCATTAAGTATAGTCACTTCTGCTGCTTTTGCTCTAATAATATTAAAATCAGCAGTTAATCATATACTTGGTTGTAATAATCATAATTTGTTTATACAAAAATAGTGTAATAAATATATGATAAATTAGTAATAAAGAATAAATTAGACGTGTACATATTAACGCGCGCGTAAAACATATTACGGAACACTTCTTAAATTAAACAGAAAATTAATACTTACTCTTCGTGCAAAGCTTTAACGTCTTCATTCGTATAACTTGCAGTTACTAAGTGTGTTTTAGCATTTATGCATACATTTGCAATTACGTGATGTAGAGAGTAAGGTAACAGCGAAACTACCACATCGGCAGATTCTACAATGTCATGTAACGTATCAGGTCGTTCGATTACATCTAGTAAAACTGGCTCTACACCAGGAAATTTATTGGCTAACACGTCTGCCTCTTCTTTAAATTGGGATGCAACAATTAAATGTATATTAGTGTCTCTGTGTAAATATTCAACCAAAGGAGCGGAGACATGTCCTGCACCTAAGACGACGACCTATTTACGAAAGAAATATACATAAATAATCGTGTTATCAAAATTGTCTAACGCATGGCATAGCAAGATGCGTCTCAGGAGATGTCCCAAATTTTGTCTCTTAATCAGAGAATGATTAAATTTAAAAAGAGATGCTCAAATTCAAAAAAAGACTTGGACGATTTCGTACCGTTTTACTTTGTGGTTCTCGATTATCTGCTTTGTGTTTACAGCGCTGATTTAGTAGTCTCAACTCTTGAATATATTCGAAATTAGGAGTTAACCGACCGTTCGATACTATTATTGCACCGTGTACTGCTGGACTAAAATTATGTTCTTCCAGTGACAGTTTTGCATCCGAGCGAATAATATCCAACGCATAAGGATATAAAAGATTGCCAAAGAAATCAGTGGATTCTTTCGGTAATTGAGTTGGCATATTGTCAATTGAACAAACTAACACTCCGGGGCCTTTAAAAGACTTAGTATCCTTGTTACGGTCGGCATCATATAAACAGAATGGTGTGTCAATTGTTGTGCATTCATTCATGAACCTATCGGAATTGTGAAAAAAGGATTCAAATTAATGTTAATTTTTATTAATATTTTTATATAGCTATAGTCTAAGCAATCGTTTGTCGTAAAAATATCTCCACGGATAGTGTTGGTAAATCTGTTAAAATTCTCACGTAGCTGTGGAATTATTTAAATTATTATTTTTGCATAACGATTTGAATCTTACTCGATGCTACCTCCAGGATCTGCTGATATGTCACAAATCGCTAACATCCTGTGAGGTAGAGCAGGAGCACCGACGCTTACTGATAGCCAAGGAGTGTAAGCTGGCCTTAATAAATATTTTGCGTCTGGTATTGTTAATAATTTAGGCGAATCAACAGCCCAATATATTCCATTAATTATCACTGATGCATACGGTGCAATTTTTTTGCTGAAAGTGGAAAGGTATCTCTCAGGATGCTTGTCACACTCGTCAGAATCAAAACCACCTCCTTCTTTTCTTTCTAGATGATGCCTTCGTCTTACCTCGCATCCGTATATTTTTGTTATATCTAAAACAAGTTTTTGTTAATTTAAATTTTCATTGAAACATTAACGAAAATATCCGTTAAATACAAACTGTGACAAGATTAATGAAGTCTGGCAAGATTGTAAAAACCGAAAGTTTGTATGACGTTTTAAAAGAATGTCGATAAGAAAATCGAATCTCATTCAGGGTTCACGACCTCAAATCAAAACAAATTCTTCCCCTTTATTTAAGAAATATCTCTGACAAGGAGTTCTCAACCAAATACAATAATCTTTTTTCATTTAAATACGTTTTACTTCGAAATGTAAAATGCTATCATATAAGACGCAAGGGAATACTATACATATGCATATCCAGGATTCAAAACATTCAGTGCAAAGAGAGCACTTAAACTTTTCAAAGAATGAAGTGAAAAAGAAAATACGAAAACAATTTTTTAACTATGTGCAATGCTCTAGAGACTTATAATTTATATCGAACTTTCGGATCCTTGGGTTAAAATTATGGCACGCAGAAAATTGTCTTAAGCAACGAACAATAAGAATAACAAATTGAATATTCCATAGGTTTATAATAAATAAACATAAAATTTACCGCCGTGTTCGGCAACTTTCTTTAGCATTTCAGGTGGTACGTATTCATGCGGAAGCTCTTGAAAAACTTCTTGACCGCCTTGACTAACATTTCCGCTACCAGTGAAAATGAATGTCAAGGGTCCGATTGATTTTGGCATGGCACCTAACGCTATTTCATATCCTACATCACGTATAGCTTGCCGTGCCATAGCGGAGTCTCTATAATTGTGCGCTGGTCCAATGTGCTGATTGAAATAAAGAATTATGATTTAATCCTTTTATCTTGAATATATTATAATTCCATTTTAAACTAATTTTCATATAGATATAGTACAGCATTCTCTCAATGAATACTCAATAAGCCCTTAGGGTAAATGCATACGTTGGATAAAGTACGGTATGACCAATTCAACATGATGAATTGAAATTTTTAGGAACAGAGGGAAGGAAATGAATGAATTGAAATTTCGGGAATTTATTTCTTCTTGACATGTTAATAAATATTTGTGTAGTTATATCTATCTCGAGAGAGTGCCAAAGATAAATCCACGCGCGCAGGTGAAACACATAAATATGTATGTATAGCTGGGGGCGAGACAGTAATACTCGTAAATTAGTGGTGTTGTTGTTGCTGCCCTTTACATCTTTAATTTTAATTAATTTGTACATAATTGGTACAATCTTAATGTTTCAATTTTTGTGCGAATATTTTATGAAAAATTTGACAACTGGAATTCCATGTATAATTGGATAGCTCAAAAGAAAAAAACTGAGTTGACAGTACGTCATCGCAACCTTTTTTGTTGCAGATGTAAGGGACAGCAAGCTTGTAGTTTTACGAAAGTTGCTATATCTCATCCCCGGCTGTAGGGGCTACAGGTGCAACATGACCATGAACACATGCGAAGCATGGATCCAGCAAATAGCATCAGCATAGATTCTACGCCTGCGTATATAAAACGTTCAGCGCACAAGAACCTGGGACCGGAAACGGAAGTCAGAAACCTAGCCGGTAAAGTTATAATGAATTATTCAGTACGCCAAAACCACAGAGCTTTTGATTAAGCGGCTTTTAATCGAATGATCTAATTAATTGACTTCAAATCATTCAATTAAACTATTTATAATTCTTAGTTTAACATTAAGGTAATCTCGGAATTGACTCCTTCAATCTATTCTAAACTTTAAAGTATAACTTATATTTTCCAGGAAGTTTCTTTTTTCTTTACTTTTCTTCCTTTCAAAAATCTTTTCCTATCTCTTTGTAATGTTAATTTCTTTATATCTTTATAAGCATTTGTATTTCACTTATACTCACAGTGACCGAGAGGACACTATAATTAATATGCAACTGTAGTTTTTAAAGAAGGATGATGTATAAAAAGTGTTTTATCATTCTCATTATCATTCATTTAGATATTAGAGAATAATACTAGCATATATTTATCTTACCATGAACGGCGTATGGTGTCCTAATGCAAGCAATCTCAGTCCGAGTCCATGTAATATGTTTACCATGCCAGCTACACCAGCATATTTACCAAAAGCGACTACTCTTTGTCCATTATTGTCCGTTAATTTTTCATAATCTAACAAACGTATATTCTTTTCAAGAAGAGCATCTAATAGAGGCATGTTGGTTTCTTGCGCCTTGATAGTATGAGAGAAGAAACAATAAGTTTTATTGGATATAAGTTGATCCACAGGAACTTGCTTCACTCCGAAAATAACAGAGGCAGAACTAATGTCCTCTTGTAATACAGCACCAGCAGCTTGATAGGATTGTGCAGGATAAGCTCTTCTATTACTGGGTTGCACAATTACTTTTACCCCTGCTCTAATTAATTGTCGAACATTCGCAGGTGCCAAGGGAGCTCTTCTTTCCCATACTGACTGATCCTCTCTTCTAATCGCTATTATTTTACCTTTTAAGGTCTGTAAAAATATTTAGCTAAACCTTATACATACACTATTATTAATCGTTAGTAATACGCATTTACGTATTCTTGCCTGTCTCTTACATTCATATAACGTGTTGAAGGCTTATGGATACGAATCATTAACAAATTCACGCTGAATTCGCACTTGGATAATTGTAAAAGCCTCATAATTTCTCTATGCAATCATTTAAAACTCTAAACACACAGTACTTAGATTTCACTGATTTAATAACATGTAAAACAGCAGAGGCACTGCAATGTAACGTGGTAACGTGTATTATAAATGATTTTGCACATATATTACTGTCTTGATATTACATAGGTCAGCGAGGTCAATGGAGAATTTAGTAAATCATTGATAAACTCAAAGTCAAGTCTTTATCAATACGACTTGACTTTTTTTAACCATTCGATTTTTACCAATATAATTAACTCATATTGGCAAAAATTTTATACAATAAAAATTATTATAATTTACCACACATATATCTAACAAAGCATAGAATTTAAACTTTCTAATATTTTACACCTATATTATATTGGATTAAGGAAGAAAGAATACGTTATGTAATGAAAATAAATTTTAATTAATTTATTTATTTATTTTTCTGTTTGTCACTGTACAAAGTATTTTTTCACGCATTACATGTACATGTTACATAGTGTTAAAGTAATTATGCTATGCTATAAAAACAAATTAGCAAATATCAATTAGATTGGGTTTTAATAGATAGATACATTTTATTTTTTATTGTTTGTTTGGTGGGATTGATTTTTTTCAGTATCTGTGTCATTACATTTACTAACTGTTCAGAAGTAAGACCGGTTTTCTTTGACTTAAACTTTTGCAATAATTCCGTTGTTGTCATCGGTTTACGCATAAGATAACGTCTGACTGCATCTTCCGTTATACCAGATTCACTGTAACATAATAGAAACATTTATTTTATATAAATGAAATTCTACTTACGTGTTTACATACACAACGTATACGATATATTATTATTTAACGAAATATACCTGGCTCCTGGAATATAAGAAGTTACTGGCACTAAATTAAAGTTGTCCAATTTCAATTTCTTTGCTTGCGATATATCTGGCGACCCCGCTTGCTTCCTCTTTAAAGAATCTGATATCCCAGCTGTAGGCGTTGCAGATCTTGAGCTATGCGCACTATTAGATTTTTTGTTATCTTTCTCTTTTACTGTATCGGATTCTGAATCAGAATCACTAGAAAAATCGCTAGAAGATTCTTTTCCCGGTGCAAGCTTCTTGGAATCTTTCTTCTTAGATTGTTTTTTCTTCTTTTTCTTATCTTTCTTTTTATCTGCATCTTTATTGGTCTTGTCTTTATCCTGAAAGAGTCAAAAGACAAATAATATTTTGATTGGAACGCATATATTGTTAATTTGAACAAGTTTATCTTACTTTGTCATCCTTATCTTTATGTTCATCATCTTCTTCTTTATCCTCATCACCATCCTTTTTATCTGCCTCTTCTTCATCTTCGTCTTCTTCATCAGAAGCAAGCAGTTTTCTTAGAGCATCCTCTTCTGCAACTGACTTAATTTCCTTTTGTTGTTCTAGTTCTGATTCAGAGTCAGAAGAATCAGAAATATAATCACATTCTCTTCCCTCTTCATCTCCATCATCGCTTTCTTCAAATGCTTCATCATCTGAAGCGTTCTTCTTCTTCTTCTTCTTTTTCGCAACCTCAACTAATAAAATCTTTATATTTATATGCTACAACGTGAACAATTGTATACAGGCGTAATTCAATCTACAATATTGGAATTTCTTTTTAAGTATTACAGAACCTAATTTTTAAGTATTAAATATAGCATGTACCTTTGCCTTTCTTCTTTTTCTTACTATCCTCTTCCTCAGAACTCTTTTTAGCTTCTTCCTCGTCACTACCCGAGTCATCATCGTCGGTGTCCATCCATTCATCCATTTCGGATATTTTTAAATCTTTCTCCTTTTTAGTAGGTTTCTTTCCTTTTCCACCATCTATTAACTCCTCGTCATCTGCACCTTCTTCATCATTTCTAAGCCTCTTACGCAACATCAGTGAAAAATAATTCATTACTTTATTCCTACGGCTAAACTCCTGTTCGGCTTCTTCTGCACTCAGTGCTTTATATCTCTGGATTGGTTGAAAATTATACCTAAATAATTTAAGTATTAATATTATTTCAAAAATATAATTAAATTTTCGAAAAGTTGTATGACTGTACCATTCGTGCAGAGGAAAAGCTTCTATAGCTCCATCAGCGGCATGTGTAAAAACGTAATACGCAGCATTTTCACTTACACCACCTTCCCTAATGCCTTTAAATTTTTTTCCAGTCTTTCCACCGGATTTTAAGATCCATGGCTGATCTTCTGGTTTGTACTTTCTGCTTGTAATACCAAATTTTTTTCGTCTAGCTTCTTCTCTCGCGTCTCGCCCAAATTCTGATCCTGCACCAAATTTTGGCATTTCCTCTTCTATTCCTTTATATTCCTTCATATTATTTTCCCGTTCCATTTTCACTTGTGTCCACTTTGAAAAATCTACGTTTAATGTTGCGTTAAAACGCATTACATTATGCTTTTTCTTGTTATTCCTGAAATCCAATATTTTACATAATAATACTAACTTTTAATATGTATGTAACTATGTTAAAAAACTACATACTTTGGTACTCGGATACTAAATTCCTGTACAGAAGGTGCAACTGAAACCTAAAATGTAAATTTAATTTCAATATATCTATATCAACATATTCATAAATATAAAAACTTCGAAGAACTATAACATATTTTAACTACTTTCGATCAGGTCGAATAATAAACAAGAAACATGTATGAGATGCCTTGTTTATTATCCATTTATGGTTTATATAAATTTTAGAAT